TATATAACCATAAAAATATATATAGTTCGGGCTCGGGATGACCGGGAGGAAGAAGAGGGTTCGACTTCGATTGTCTTGAGCTCGGTCTTGTGTGATGGAGATAGGGTAGGAGAGAAAGATGAGATTTTCGAAGGCCCCGGTAAATTGCTATCCCATTATATGCTACCAAGCAGAGGAAGGAGCGGGCGAGCATGGTTTCGATCTGGAGAAAGGGGCTTCGTTGCATGCGGTCGAAGTGAGACATAAAGAGGAAGAGACACGGATGAAGGTGGCGAGTAGAAAACTTGGGAGTTTTGGAGGTCTTCGGAAGCCACAATACCTTCATTTCTTTTCCAACAAGACCACAAGAGATCTTCGTCCGCTGCAATCCCGTCATTGCCTTTCCAGCAAAGGTCGCAGAAAGAGTTTCAGAGGTCTTCGTATAGTGTGATCCTATGTGATCCTGTGGTTGCTTTTCCAACGAAGGGCACAAGGAGAGATGGGCTCAAACTGGGAATATGGGATTTTTCGAGACCTTTGTATGCTTTGATGTAGTCGTTGCTTCTCACTGGCTCTAATTGTGATTGTATCGTGCCACTTTCGGTCACAAGAGGGGTGAGCAAGAAAAAACGAAGTCTTTTGAATGGAGTTCCTGTCTGAGACACTCGGGTGTCATCTCTGGGTATGCCATGTGAAATAACCTCTTGTGGGTTTGTAATAGAGAAATAATGGGAGTAGTTATATGATACTAAAGTGGAAGCTCTTATAGTTCTTAATGTTTTATTTTACTTTTTTTAAAATTTAATTTTTTCGGTCAACAACATACATGTTAATTTTTAAATTTTGCCTTCTGTCATGAGATCAAACTATAGGGAGTTTTGCTACAGAAATCCAAGGAAATAAAGTATTTACATATTTTAAAATTCATCATCTTCATGATATAATCAAAACACAAACTTACATTCAAAGCTTGATCTGCCCTTGAAGGCTATTTCAAAATGCAGTCTACGATAATTAATTCTACCAAAAGCATTATAATATCTTACCTGCGTGTAATTTAAAGGGTTCTTTTGCCATTCTGTTACAGTCAGCTCAATGCTATTCTTTGAATCACGCACTAATTGGGCCTTTCCCTTCTCTCCCAAAATAACATATTTAGTTTCTTTTTCTGGGCCTGATAGCATAAGCACAATTAAATTAAATACGGATATAATTTAAAAATTCAAGAGATGGGCAGAGCAATCTATACCTGAATAAATTTTGGTAAGAGCTTTGCTCACTTTAACTGAAGTGGAATTTATGCCGCCACAAAGGCCTTTGTCAGAGGTAACAGTGATGACAACATTCTTCTTCACATCAACATCTACAATTTTAACCAAGTCAGCCCCCTCAAGGAAACAAATATTTAGTCGAAAAATAAAGCCATAAACTAACACAAAATGGCATCTAGAAAACATAAACAAAAAATTGCATGCCAAAATGTAAAGAGAGTAGCTGCAATATAGATGAGATTGCAGGGAAAAAAAAGTTGCAGAGGAAATCAAGCACGCAAACAAGCCCACCTCACATGCGGCGCACGTAAACACAACCGTAAAGTATAGATCTAATGACCACCTCAACCGCAAATTACATGCAATGTCAAATTTTGATGTAAATAACACTTTCAGTTTTTAAAATAAGAGATGTTGGCTTAAAAAAAGCTACAGTTAGAAGGTCTATGTGGCAGATGGTGTGGATGTTAACTTTTATTGTTTTTAAAAACAGTGAAAAGGGTGCTTCAATAAATACTCCAACAGTTGCTTTATCCTACAATTCCATTAGTGCAATCTAGACAAATTTATACTTCAAAATTGCAAATCAGCATAATGGGACTATAGCATAAATAATTCCCAGTTCGTAAGTTGTAGCCATAAGGTACACTGTACTTTTCTAGCTAGAAACAAAAAATGTTACAAATCAGCAAAATGGGCACAAAATAATTGAATAGCTAAGAGCAAAGAGCGACCTTACTACTAATTGTATCGATTTGATATCAATATCATTAATAAATATGGACAAAAAATATTACATGTGCACTAAAACATGAAAAAGCATATTAGAAAGTATACTGCTAAATAAAATATCAAAGAAATTCACTGCTATTGATGAATTCCAGGAACAAAAGAGATTGACAATATACTTAGGTTGTCGCCAAGAAGAGCAACAAATGGCTGCCACAGGCCCCGTGATTTTTCAGTCTTAGTCTGAACCCCACGCAGCTTTGAGGCTGCAACCATCTTCATTGCTTTGGTGATTTTTTGGATATTCTTAACGCTCTTCATTCGATTTCTAACTGCATAAGAAACAAAAAAAACATGAAAAATAAAATATATAGTTTCCATATCCAAGACAAAATTTGAGTAAAATTTAATCCTGTGATGCTAGAGTTTTTTTACCTATTTGTGTGGAAATTGAGCGTACACCAAACAAACATGGCTCTCTGCTATCTCAAATGTGGTTAGTAGTCATATATATAAATAATTAGAAAAAAAAAAACATGAAGAAGCCTAATCAATTTGGCTAGAAATTTCATGAATATTCAGACATCTGAATAAGGTTTAAGATAATTTAAATAGAAAATTTTAAATAGAAAAGAGACCAAAAGAATGTTTTTTTCACAATAAACCAGGAATATATAGAAGTTGTGATGCACATTAAAAAAAATAAAATTTACTAATTTAAAAGTTTATTTTCATTTTTTGGATGTGGTGCCTACATACATAAAAGGCCGTTAAACTCAAATAATACCAGTTTCAGCACATGAAGCCTATTTCTCAAATAGATAGTATTCAAAATGGTCAAAAACCAATTATTAACACTAAACTTGAGAAGAGATTAGCACCCATGAGACTAATCAAACAAAAAAAGACTAACTACCTACAATGTATTTACATATCTGACACCTCAACTTTAAGTATTACATATATATCACTCAAATCTCTAATGTTACATCAAAATATCACCATTTTAACTTTGAAAAAGTGAAATACATCTTTTCATGCATAGGGAAGGTGGGCATGTATGTAAAAATTGAAGTATAGATGTTAGATGTGTAAATAAAAAGCAATTGAGTGGCGTGTATGTAAATATCCATTATTATTTTATCTAAGTGGAATTACCGAGATTTCTATGCATATTTGATAGCAATAACATATCCATTTTTTACAGAAAAAAGAAGAAAAATGATAATGCTAGTATACAGCTATCGTTCTATGATAGAAATAACCCAACCACATAAAATTTTGATCTATATCAAATAGTTTGTGAGATCAATCCCACACTATCAAATCCATTTAAGCTCAAATACCAATAGAATTTATATCGCTAAACAATTTTGCTACTAACTCAATAACGATGCATTGGCGTAAACTCTGAAACTAACAAAATTATCGAAGAAACAAGCTCAATGTATGTTTGGCGGACATTTGAAATGGAAAAAATTGCAAATAGGATCAGACAACCCATATGGTCATCACCATTTGCCCTTGACGAATCTAATCTAATGTTGTTCTGCAACTCCTGTGCTCCGTGTTCTCCATTAAAATAAAAAAAAACAGATAATCAAGCTAAATTGAACCACCTAACAAATCGTATAAGGGCCAAAACTGATGAAATATCGGAGATCATTTGTCTTACTCGGATGAGATCGACGATCGAGCGGTTATTGGAGAGGAAGAGGCCAAGGAGACGACAAACCTCCTTCCCTCCCTACGCAGAGCAGCCATCGCCATCGTAATCGAAGAAAAAACTGAGCTTCTGCCTGAAACCCTATGTGCTCGATTCTGTGTACGGGCGTCTGAACTACGAAAAAACAGCGTAAGATGAAAATAAAATTGAATGTTTTTTTTGCGGAAAAGCCCGGGGATTTCTTTATTTGCCATTCTTACAATAGAATTTTTACATCGTTGATTATGGGAGTAGATCCTTGTAGACAATAGGAGCATATGACAATATATATTTGGACAATAGATAGCTGTCAGATAATTCTAGTTTGACAATTAGATGATGATAATTGATACGTCATCATTAAATTTTCATCATCCGACACGAATATCGAAGCATAACACAAATCTCAAGATAATATTTTAAGCAATAAACATTTAAATTTTAATAAAAAATCATCCAGAGCTTCGATTTCAGCAAACTTATAGTCAAATTGACCGGCTCGATGAAACGGACCTAATGATATTCTAATCTGAGTCAAATCAAGCTCAGATCAAGTTATTAAACCGCCCATGAAAGATTTCTGAACATATTTGGAATGTCAAACAGATGTCGACACATGCAAATTTATACTTGAATCAAGCAGATCGGTAAAACGAATCCAAAGAGCCCAAGATCACTCAATTTGGACATTGTTAAAGCAGTCAAATGTTCATTAAACGCGGCATGATCGGAATAAAATCTATGGACCGTCCGATCAAATTGGTTGATATTCCTGCATTAATTGCACTAAGAACACTATAAAAGGGGGGTTGAAGTCTAGAGAGAGAGTCTGAGGCCTTGAGGAGAAGCTGCAGCTCAGCACCACCGCCGACCTCCGACGACCTATGACAACCGTCATCGACTACTACTAACCACCATCGATATCCACAAAACAGATGCCTTTAGTCGACGTTGTAATCTAAAAAATATAGTTATCATTTTCCCTTCTGTGGGATAAGGGATTCATGTAATCAACAATCAGTAGTGGATTTTCGCAATTGGGTCAGGCCCTGTGGTTTTTCTCTTACGGGTTTTCCACATAAAAACTTCTTGAGTCATCACCGTTTATTTCTTTTTCATCTGTGTGTGTGTTGAAGTTTCGTACAACGCTTAGACGATAAACTATTACTCCATTGCCGCGAATTTCCTTGCACGCATCAATAATTATACAGTACAT